ACTACAATTTTTAATAGTAACGAATTAAAGAGTTCTACTATACCAACTTTTAAATTCTATTCCCTTGCTTGTACTTTCTGAGGTGGCAAACGCGGATTGGTTAATTTTTATCATGTGGTCCACCGAAAAGTGTCTACATCAAGAATATGCAAGAGGAAATAAAAAATTGAGAATATATAATGGGAGTACACTAAGTATTTTCCCAAATTAAAATCACTATTATAATAGGTCTATTCCTATGTCTATACCTACAACTACCAAGCAGTGATTTATATAAATATTTTTTATCACATGAGAGTATGTTTTCACAAACTTTCATATATATATATATATATATATATATATATATATATATATATATATATATATATATATATATGTGTGTGTGTGTGTGTGTGTTCTATAGTTAAGCTAACTTGTACCTAAATGATTATGGCTATGTATAGTAGTAAATGAACCTCATTATTATAAATATCAATATGCACTATCGATTTGAAGGAGATGAAAGATAATGAAATTTAACAAACTCTAATATTCAAGATTCCACATATTATAGTATGTAGTGAATACAGGCTTCCAAGTATATCATATTGTTTAGCATTAAATATAATGTACAATTAGAAAATTACACTTTATTTTAGCCTTTAATTTATGTGGTAAGTGTAATTTTTATATTTGGGAGGGTTTAGGTGAAAACAATCTCTCAAGTAAAAAGTGATGACTTATTAGATTCTTGCATATTGTTAGATTAATGTTTAAGTGATGCAAAAAAGTTATAGAAACAAATGATGGATTTAGTTTTATAGATATTGTAAATTTGAATTTTTTAATAATTATAAAATTGACTTTATAATTTTTTACCAAAAGTCTCAACTATTGATGAACTCTGATATGCGGTAGACCTTTCTTCAATACTTTTACTGGAGAGAATTATTCTCATTTGAATCCACCCTATGTGTGTGTGATGTGTGTGTGAAAGAGAGGGAGAGAGAAAAATAACAACTTTTATCACTAAGACACTAATTAAGAGCTAATTTAATTGCCAAGCACCTTGTGCACAGATAGTACCTGGGTTGGACTCTCATATGGGATGTTATGATTTTGAGGCTCAGTAGAGATGAACAGATACTACATTGTAATAGAGTCAGTAACATTAAAAAAAAAAAAGAGCTAATTTAATTTTTTCGTTTAATAATTAAAAAGTAAACTTACACTTTTACACTTTTTTATAATATAGTGACCAAAAGTGAAATACAATTTCAATATAGAATATTCCTATCCTTAATTTTTAGGGGTGTTTAATCTCATTCTTTAAAATTGGACTTGCCAACACGCAAACTACAATACGTGTTCAAATTTTTGTAACATATTTGATAAATATTTCTAGTTTGATTTTAAAAAAATTTCTTTTGTGGCACAATTGGGTAAACCCTACTCTTATATAATAGTACGAATTCGAACCGTACTTAGAAATTCATGTTCGACAAGCTAGCTAGCCGTAAGACAATATTCAAACTAATGTCCGTTGATACCGAGTAGGTCCCATTAAGGGACATGGTATTGCCATCCTCCTTAACATAAACTAATAGATTTTTTTTTTAAAATACATAAACTAATAGATTTAGTCCCATACAGATAACATATTCTAGTATCATTAATTCCATGATTGGCGAAATTTTCGCTTACAAGTTACACATCTCTAGACATTGCATCTGCAGAAGGGAGACATTGCATTTGATGAGGAAGGGGATCGGAATTTCACAGCCTCATAGATATTTAATTTCTACCTAACTATTAGTACAAATTTTATGCATGTATTTAATTGATAGGCTTATTTTTTGCAAACCATTTAAAATTTTTGAAATATGAATATTATTTATGAGTTCTGTGCGCTTAAAAATCGGATTTAATTTTATTATATTTCATACTAAGGTAAAACAAGACAAAAATAAAATTGGAATAAGGGTGAAATAAGCTCTGGAATTATTCATTAAAATGCAATTAACCTCTCGAATTATAAAAAGTTTTAATTAGACACCTAAACTTTAAAAAAAAAAGTGAAGTTAACTTAATTTGAAATGTTATTGCAGGTAACCTTCAAGTTAAATTAAAGGTGATTCGAATGCCACATCAATATATTTTTATAATTTGGATGCCCAATTCACATATTGATATGGCATTTCAATCATCTTTAACCTAAAGGCTACATGCAATAACATGTCAAACAGAGTTAATTACATTTTTTTAAAACTTCAGGTGTCTAGCTAATTGGAGTTTTTTCTTTTAGTTCGAGTGTTTAATTGCACTTTTATGAATAATTCTAAGACTTATGAATACCAAGTGAAATTTTTTCAAACTTTATTGACATACAACACACTACAAAATTTTAGATTTTTACTAATATATATGTACACACACCATAAATCATACTAGTTTCCAATTTTCTAGATATGAATTGTGATATGATCATAAGAATACCTAATCATCCTTGTTGGGAATTGTTAGACTATTATGGATGCGAATGGGACCATGTTTAAAACCAAAAAAAAAAACAAAAAAAAAAAATAAAAACAAAAACAAAAACAACAAAGAACAATAAACATGCACTTTGTATACACTTATTAGCAATTAGGTACCCTAGCCTTAATTAGTTTCTATATAAATTGAAGGATTAATTAGCATCTAACACTTCTTGGCTTTAACTATATATATTAAATTGATTATGACATGAGATATTTAAGTCGAAATAGAATGCAATGTAGAAAATTATCAACAAACCAATTAATGGTATAAAACACACACACACAAATACAATAATAGTAATGAATTTAGTGCCAAAGCTGGCATTCCATAATGGTCCTCATCCTCCTCCTTCAATTTGGCTTATAACTTCTTTGTTGACATTTAATGGTGAGTAACAAAACCCAACAAAAAATCGAAGGCAATTAATATTTTCGTAGAATCCATATTACCAATTCGGTTTATTAGGCCAAATATCTTGTGGTGTGATAGTATCGTTGTTATTTTTCATAAGGAAGATCTCAGATTTGAGTCCAATCTTAATCAGATAGGCATAATTTGTTGAGCAGATACTATTGGTAGTTTAGAATGTTCTAAAAAAATTAATGTTTTATAAATATTATTTTATAATTAAATAAATAATATTGAATATAATATAGATATGTGTATATAATTTTTTTCTTTTTCGCCAAACATGGAGTCATTTATGTATTTTTATATGGTAATTTTGTTTTACTAATTTTTTAAAATATCAATATTGGTATCATTTAAAAGATCTCAATTAAAGTTTTTTTTTTATATATATAATTTATTTTTTAAATGTTAATTTTGTTTGTACTAAAAGAATTTTTTTTAAAATTTTTTTGGTCAACCATCCACCTACTTTGGAGATTTAATTGGAGCAACAACTAGTCAACTAACACCAAATAAAAATGAAAGGGAAAAGAATTTAGTGAGTAATAATACTAATTAAAAAGCTAAAGACCTAAGCAATTTAACAAATAGTGTATGAAAATAATTAGCCGAAATTAATTGTAATAAATTCAATGGGAAGAAGAGCATGTATTGCATGTAGCTATCACGAAGTAGATATCATCATAGTTTCAAGCTTTTAATTGACATATAGTATTAATAGGCCAGAAGGACACATGTACTTTGGAGTTGAAAAGAATGAGAGAATGAAGATAATGGTAATGAATTTAATGCTAAAGCAGGCCTTCCATTATGGTCCTTCTCTTACAAAAATCAAAGGCATAGCTATTTTTTGGATTGTGTTTATTAAATGACATTTATTGATCCTATACCTTCCAACCCTTCATTTTCCTTCTCGTTTAAAAATAGACGTACATTTCAAGTTTATGAAATAGACGTAAATAATATTGAATATAATATAGATATGTGTATATAATTTTTTTCTTTTTCGCCAAACATGGAGTCATTTATGTATTTTTATATGGTAATTTTGTTTTACTAATTTTTTAAAATATCAATATTGGCATCATTTAAAAGATCTCAATTAAAGTTTTTTTTTTATATATATATAATTTATTTTTTAAATGTTAATTTTGTTTGTACTAAAAGAATTTTTTTTTAAATTTTTTTGGTCAACCATCCACCTACTTTGGAGATTTAATTGGAGCAACAACTAGTCAACTAACACCAAATAAAAATGAAAGGGAAAAGAATTTAGTGAGTAATAATACTAATTAAAAAGCTAAAGACCTGAGCAATTTAACAAATAGTGTATGAAAATAATTAGCCGAAATTAATTGTAATAAATTCAATGGGAAGAAGAGCATGTATTGCATGTAGCTATCACGAAGTAGATATCATCATAATTTCAAGCTTTTAATTGACGGGTTATTCTATTTACACCACCTATTTTACTATTTGCACCACCTACTTAGTAGGTCAAATAGCTTTATAGGTGGTGTAAATGCCAGCATTAATAAATGTAGTCAAAGTAACATTTATTATTTATTATTTTTTAACAATAAACATTAAAAAAAAAAAAAGAATAAATCATCGCCTTCTCCGGTGAGAAGGACTGCCTTCTCACCGGAGAAGGCAACTGGGCTGCCTTCTCCGGCGAGAAGGCGACCCACTGGGCTGCCTTCTCGCCGGAGAAGGCGATGATTTATTCTTTTTTTTTTCTTTTTTTTTAAATTATTTGTGTAATTGTTTTTAAAATTTTTATTTTCAATACATATGTTTTTAAATTTTATTTTCAATACTTATTTTTTTTTGTTCAATATAATTTTTTTAACTTTCTATTTTCAATACTTGTTTTTGTTTATGGTTTAATTTTTAAATAAAAAATAATGATTAATTTTGTTATTTTAATATTTTTTATAACTTAAATTTGTTGTATTCATTATTTTATCCTTTTTTATAGAGATATAATAAATTAAATTTGAATCGCTAAAAATTGTAAAAATATATTAACTTCACAACAAAAAAAAAAATAAATTCATTCAATTTCAATCTAATATAACATTTTCCCGAGTACAATTAGAGCGTACATGCTCATTGTAACTTTCAATCCTATTCATATATGGAGTCATCCATGCATTTGCACAATCATATCTAAAATAAGCCCATTGTGGAGCAATTGTAGGCATTGGGTACCCTCCTGTCAATGTTACCTTGACATAATGGTTATTATTAACATAACCAAGGGTTATTGCTACATGCTCGTACCAAGGTGGTGGGCTAGATCGAAGTGGTAAATATGTTGTACTGCCGGCCATACTCAAAACATGTAGTATCACATTGTATCGGGAAGCAATTAGTACACCCATCTCCGGCATAGTCATCCAGTGCTCAACTGGTGCACACCGATCTTGTGCAAAAAAATTCAACATGTTATAGACATTATACCATCCTTGAGTTCCAAACATATCGGTATATTCCATTGTGTGAGACTCTAGTTCTTCGATTAAATTGGATCGAATTTTGAACCATTCGTCCTCCTTAAAACCGAGACAGAGAGCTACGGCTCGAAATCCACAGTTTCCGTCAGATTTCACATCTTGCACTTGCATGATGAAAGGATGGAATATAACCGGAAGTTGAAGCATATATGGATGGTAAAAGTGTCTATCACCTGAAGTTGGTGCAGCTGAACAACTATTCCGAGCTTGTTCTTGAAATTGAATATTATTTGGCTCGGCTTTAGTTTTTCTGAGAGATAGAGTTCTTATGAGAGATTTGTTTTTTGAAGTGGGACGCCCACGAACATTTATTTGCACGGGTGGCTCACGGATCGAAGTTGTAGATGGCGCGATCAACTCCCTCAACTTTCTCAATATGTTGAATTTACCAGTTCTTGATTGTTTCTTGAACTGATCCTTAAACATATGAAGCTCATGCTCAACACCAAAATCTTCATTGGTTAGAGAGATGGAAGATGATAAGTCGAGCTTCCTCCAAAAGATATCAATCGAATCAAGTGGGATAGGCTTACCACAGTTAAAATATGTTACCTGCTCGTGCGCACATGGAAGCCCGCAACTTGTTCGCAATCGACATCCACAATTTTCAAAAGTAATCCCGCCAGCCCGTGACCTCTCAAACTCATTAAAAATGAGATTCAGTGCATGAATAGACACAAATCCTCGCAATTCTTGAAAATGTGACGTGTTGAACCGATGTCGAATCAAAATTTTGCTTTGTTCAAGACTTGCTTTGATGGATGTGTCCTGTGACTGAATGACTCTGTCGATATAAACCAATGATGTCTCCAAATCTGACTGCGATGACTCCAAGTATTTTTTTAACTTGGCATGCTGACTCTCAACTCTGTTCGTGGTGTGATTTCCAAAATTGAGATATCGATCAGTCCAAACAGATACAAACATTTCTTTATACGGTTGCAGCCAATTATCATCAATATAACCAAAGTTCACACACACACACACACACACACATATATATATATATATATGAAATTAATGAACATATATGAAAGCAATGAACTTAAATTTCTAAATAATATATGAAAGCAATGAACTTAAATTTTTAAATAATATATAAAAGCAATGAACAAATATACATAAGTTCAATTGTAACATTTCAGTAACAATTCAAATAAAAAAAAATTAAAATACCTCGTAATGTTGTTGATTTTGATTTGGACCATTGTAACTAAGAAATTGGCTTTGATTTTGATCGTTGTAGCTAAACAAATTATCTATCCAACCGTCCATCACACACACACGAATTTTGATTTTGATTTTGATTGTATGACATGTACATCACACACACACACCACATATATATAGAGCCATTTAAGTCTTTTGGATTCCTTGCCATTCATTCTACACGTAGTTTCATTTCACAAACAACAATATTAACTAAAAAATATGAATTGAAATTGTAAATTTACAAAATATATGTATTAAAATTATAAAGTTCAAAAAACTATCTATTGAAATCATAAATTTAAAATAAACATATATCGAAAAACAAAAAAAAATGGACCAGGAAGGCAAGGAGGCAGAAAAAAAAAAAAAGGAGCAGCCATCGCCTTCTCCGGTGAGAAGGCGACGGACTGCCTTCTCACCGGAGAAGGCAACTGGGCTGCCTTCTCCGGCGAGAAGGCGACCCACTGTGTGGGCTGCCTTCTCCGGCGAGAAGGCAGCCCACTGTGTGGGTCGCCTTCTCGCCAGAGAAGGCAACCCACTGTGTGGGTTGCCTTCTCCGGCAAGAAGGCGACCCACTGGGCTGCCTTCTCACCGGAGAAGGCAGCCCAGTTGCCTTCTCTGGTGAGAAGGCAGTCCATCGCCTTCTCACCGGAGAAGGCGATGGCTGCTCCGTTTTTGTTTTTTTTTTTTTTTTTGTTTTTTTTTTTTTAATAATTAAATTTTGACGTCATAAATGTAAATTTAATAGGGTGGTGCAAATAGCATTTTGACCACCCATTAGGCTATTTGCACCACCCATATTTACTACCTTTTTACATTTTCAAAGTGCTTTATACCTCATTTTAGTCAATGGGTGGTGCAAATAGCAACACCCTTAATTGACATATAGTATTAATAGGCCAGAAGGACACATGTACTTTGGAGTTGAAAAGAATGAGAGAATGAAGATAATGGTAATGAATTTAATTCTAAAGCAGGCCTTCCATCATGGTCCTTCTCTTACAAAAATCAAAGGCATAGCTATTTTTTGGATTGTGTTTATTAAATGACATTTATTGATCCTATACCTTTCAACCCTTCATTTTCCTTCTCGTTTAAAAATAGACGTACATTTCAAGTTTATGAAATAGACGTAAATAATATTGAATATAATATAGATATGTGTATATAATTTTTTTCTTTTTCGCCAAACATGGAGTCATTTATGTATTTTTATATGGTAATTTTGTTTTACTAATTTTTTAAAATATCAATATTGGTATCATTTAAAAGATCTCAATTAAAGTTTTTTTTTATATATATATATAATTTATTTTTTAAATGTTAATTTTGTTTGTACTAAAAGAATTTTTTTTTTAAATTTTTTTGGTCAACCATCCACCTACTTTGGAGATTTAATTGGAGCAACAACTAGTCAACTAACACCAAATAAAAATGAAAGGGAAAAGAATTTAGTGAGTAATAATACTAATTAAAAAGCTAAAGACCTGAGCAATTTAACAAATAGTGTATGAAAATAATTAGCCGAAATTAATTGTAATAAATTCAATGGGAAGAAGAACATGTATTGCATGTAGCTATCACGAAGTAGATATCATCATAGTTTCAAGCTTTTAATTGACATATAGTATTAATAGGCCAGAAGGACACATGTACTTTGGAGTTGAAAAGAATGAGAGAATGAAGATAATGGTAATGAATTTAATGCTAAAGCAGGCCTTCCATCATGGTCCTTCTCTTACAAAAATCAAAGGCATAGCTCCATATTTTTTGGATTGTGTTTATTAAATGACATTTATTGATCCTATACCTTCCAACCCTTCATTTTCCTTCTCGTTTAAAAATAGACGTACATTTCAAGTTTATGAAATATTTTTTGGGACTAGTCCAATTAAGATGCAAAGTGCTAACTAAATTTATTTTTTCACACGAAAGGGGGTTCAAACTCCTAACATCTCTTAAATTAAAGGACAAGAGTACACGGTCACTCACGCCAATCAAGCTAGTTAAGTTTATGAAATATTTAAACCTTCGTATTGAAAGAATCAAATAAGAATATATATATATATATATATATATATAAATGCGGCAGGGTCTTCCCGTGCGGCGGTGCGGCAAAATTTCAGAATACACCAACAGTGTTAACAATATGCACCAACAATGTAAGGAAAACACACCACAATGAAATGCAATAAAACATCAAAAAATACACAACAGACCCAAAAAAAATACACCATATACCTCACCACCCCCAATGGTGTATTTTCGAACAGTGTATGGTGTTTTTACTCACACCTAATGGTGTGTGTTTGGTGATGCGTACCTAATTTTCCTCTGTTTTTTGTGGTGTATTTTCCTAACGTTGATGGTGTATATTTGTTGAACTATTGGTGATGCCGCACCGTAAGACACCGCCGCACCTGAACTCGCCAATATATATATATATATATATATATATATATATATATATATATATATATATATATATATATATATATATATATATATATATATATATATATATATATATATAGGGATGCACTCAGGTGCGAATAAGTGCCCATGAAGGAATATGCGAACGAATCAGCGCGCGACACGTGTCCAGATCTAATAACTTAAAAAAAAACGCGGTGGCATTTTCGTAAATAATTTAACATCGAAGTGCAAGTAAAATCACTTACAAGTGCACATTCTTTCACCTATAAGTGCATGTAATTTTGCCTTGTTAGCATTCACTTTCTGCAAACATTCATGCACCTGGGTGTGCTTATAACTATATGTGCAACTATTTATAATTATAGGTGCAACTACTTATAACTATAGGTGCACCTACTTTCACCTATAAGTGCATGTAATTTTGGCTAGTTAACATTCATTGGTCTGAGTTCAGCGGGTAGTAATACCCCTGAAAACCACTCGCAAACATTCATACACCTAGGTGCAACTACTTATAACTATTTGTGCAACTACTTAGAACTATAGGTGCAACTACTCAGAACTATAGGTGCAACTAAGTATTGATGCTCAGTGTAAATTTTTACTTGCACCTATAATACATTTTACATGCACTTGTAATACATTTTACTTGCACTTCGATGTTCAATTATTTACGAAAATGCCACCGCATTTTAAAAAAAAAAATCAGTGTTTCTCATCCATTAGATCTGGACACGTGGACGGACAGAATTCATTCCTATTTCGCGCCTGGGCGAAGCATTCGCACCTGAGTGCGATTATATATATATATATATATATATATATATATATATATATATATATAGACTTGCACTCGGGTGCGAACCGCTCGCCCAGGCGCGAAATAGGAATGGATTCTGTTCGTCCACGTGTCCAGATCTAATGGATGAGAAACATTGATTTTTAAAAAAAAAACGCGGTGGCATTTTCGTAAATAATTGAACATCGAAGTGCAAGTAAAATGTATTACAAGTGCATGTAAAATGTATTATAGGTGCAAGTAAAAATTTACACTGAGCATCAATACTTAGTTGCACCTATAGTTCTGAGTAGTTGCACCTATAGTTCTAAGTAGTTGCACAAATAGTTATAAGTAGTTGCACCTAGGTGTATGAATGTTTGCGAGTGGTTTTCAGGGGTATTACTACCCGCTGAACTCAGACCAATGAATGTTAACTAGCCAAAATTACATGCACTTATAGGTGAAAGTAGGTGCACCTATAGTTATAAGTAGTTGCACCTATAATTATAAATAGTTGCACATATAGTTATAAGCACACCCAGGTGCATGAATGGTTGCGGAAAGTGAATGCTAACAAGGCAAAATTACATGCACTTATAGGTGAAAATAGGTGCACTTATAAGAGATTTTACTTGCACTTCGATGTTCAATTATTTACGAAAATGCCACCGCGTTTTTTTTAAGTTATTAGATCTGGACACGTGTCGCGCGCTGATTCGTTCGCATTTCCTTCCTAGGCACTTATTCGCACCTGAGTGCGTCCCTATATATATATATATATATATATATATATATATATATATATATATATATATATATATATATATATATATATATATATATATATATATATATATATATATATATATGGAAGGGATCAGGTGTAGGGAGGGTTTCCCGTCCGGTTGTGCGGGTGTACACATATTAAGTATTAAACTGATGCACTTTAAGTACAAAACACACGCACATTAAGCACACAAACAAAACACCTTAAAAACACAAACTCACGCACCTTAAGCTCAAAATTCACGCACCTTAAGCACAAACCTCATGCACCGTAGGCACAAAACTTACGCACCTTTAAGTTTCAACAATTACTCACCTTAAACACAAACCCACGCACCTTAAGCACAAAACTCATGCACCTTAAGCACAAAACCAACGCACCTTAAGCACAAAGCTCACGCACCTTAAGTTTCAATAACAACTCACATTAAGAACAAACCCACGCACCTTAAGCACAAAGTCACGCACCTTAAGCACAAGACTCGTGCACCTTAAGCACAAGACTTATTTAATGTTTTATAATTATTATTTTATAATTAAATAAATAATGAATATAATATAGATATGTGTATATAATTTTTTCTTTTTCGCCAAACATGGAGTCATTTATGTTTTTTTATATGGTAATTTTGTTTGTACTAAAAGGAAAAAAAAAAAAAAAAAATTTAATTTTTTTGGTCAAGCATCCACCTCCTTTGCTTTACATTTTCTTAGTAGAGATTTAATTAGAGCAACAACTAGTCAACTAACACCAAGTAAAATTGAAAGGGAAAAGAATTTAGTGAGTAATAATACTAATTAAAAAGCTAAAGACCTGAGCAATTTAACAAATAGTGTATAAAAATAATTAGTCAAAATTAGTTGTGGTAAATTCAATGGGAAGAAGATCAGAGCATTTATTGCATGTAGCTATCACTAAGTAGATATCATCATAGTTTCAAGCTTTAAATTGGCATATAGTATTAATAGGCCAAAAGGACACTTGCACTTTGGAATTCAAAAGAATGTCAGAATGAAGATAATGGCTTTCAAAAAAAAAAGAATGAAGATAATGGTAATGAATTTAATATTAAAGCAGGCCTTCCGTCATGGTCCTCCTCCTACAAAAATCAAAGGCAGAGCTCCATATTTTTTGGGTTGGGTAAATATTTAATACTATAGCTGATTGGCTCAAATAAAAAAGATTGGGATTCAAATTCTTAAACTTGTAATTACAAGTTTGTATTCTTAATTGGGTTACCCACAGAGCTTCATATATATATATATATATATATATATATATATATATATATATATATATATATATATATATATATATATATATATATATATATATATAACTTCCAGTCCAATAAAAATTAATTGTTTTCTAATTTTCTGAAAATTATTATTGTGTTTCCAAATGGACCCTAAAAATCAAGAAGATATTTAAAGTGTTCTTAAAATGTTGCTTATGAAATATTTAAACCTTCGCTCCAACATCTGATACAAAAATCAATATAATAATTTTATAAAGTAGAAATGTTTTACAAAAATAACCCAACTAACCACATTCATAGGAGTTGTATCAATCATTCAATTGAATTTTCATGTTACTTGTTCTTAATCCCGCAAAATGCAATGTCTAGGGATGTGTTTGGTGGATGAGTCTCAAAATATTTTAAATGAAGTTTGAAAATGAAGTTGGAATGTTCACTCACTACCATAGAAGTCACTGTGTTTTCGAGTTACTTCAAGCACATTTCATCTATATATATTGGTCTTATATATGTATATTGGATATCCACTGCATCTTTGGTTCAAAGGATTTGTTTTAACTGATTGCATTACAAGTTTGATTTTCAAATAAAAATAATTTATTAACATTTTTAATTTGAGGTGATCATTTAGGAGTGTGAAATTTAACATTAACATCACTTAGGATCACACAAGTTAATTTACCAGCTTGGGTTATAATGTGAAATTTACCACATAAATTAAATTCCAGAAGTTGTCATCATCATTCATGGAGTTATAAATAGTATAGGGTGGGAGGTGCATTAATCAATTCCACCAATAACCAGACTAACTTAGGAAGTAATTTTAGGAACCCTACAATAGTAGTTGCGGTTCTCAAGGTTGGTAAAATCAGAATTAATCAATTCCTTCCATTAAAAGTGTTGAGGTGATTTAAGGGAACCTATGCTTCTAGTCATTGTAGATTTGTAGATGCCTGCAGGTTTCCAATCTTGATTTTGGATAGTTAAAAATATGAGGAAAATAGATATTTTATTTGTTTTTATTCTTTAAAATATTGTTACGTATTTATATGTGAAAATTAAAATAAACATAAATAAAAAAATATTATTGTTAAATTTGTGTTTAAGTCTTAATTTTGTTACTAACACTAGTTTAAAATTATAATTATAATATTTAAAAAATAGTGTTTGTTATTTTTTTAAAAATTTAATTTGATTTTCACATATAAATAATAATTTGTCAGAGAAAGAAAATGATTTGAAATTTTTTTTATCATTATTTTTAACCATCCAAAAATCTATTTAACATGAAATGACAAAATTGAAACTTTTTAAAATAATTGAAAGGTAAATAAAAATACATGAATATTTTAGTATGAAAACAACGTACACTATAAACATATATCCAGTTTTTTTTTTTTTTCTTTTTATTCATATAAAAAAAACTTAGGAATAAAAAAAAAATTATTATGATTACTTTATTATGTTTAAATTAAATAGCACCATTAACTTTATAAATGATCGGTTAAGTTATAAAATGAATATTTTTTACAAGGCGGTACGTGAAATTCCATTTTCGTTGTTCTCCTTTTGCAAATGCCCCATTTGTCAAAACTTTATAAGACCTGTAAATGAGAGCACATGCAATGTAAACAAGTAGTATGGAAAGTTTTCAAAAATAAAAAAAATAAAAAATAAAATCGTATGGATGGGAGCCCTCAAAGCATTACGGTACGAAACTCATTTATTGTTCATGGCTACCCTAAACCCCAGTCTAGGGATTCAATCTTTTCCTAGGTTAACATTCACCTTATTAGTTTTTGACATCTTTGTAAACTGGATTTAGTGAAATGCATTCTACTATTATTAAATATATATATTAATTAATCATAATAGTTAAACGTATATAAAACCATTAAAAATAATAAATAGAGTAAAAGATTTAAAAAATGTTAATTGGAGTTCTAAGGCATAAATGACTGATTTCATGTATACCAAAAAAAAAAAGAAAAAGTACACTAATTAATTAAAGCACAATATACAAACATACTGTATTTTTTTTTTCTTCTTTCAATTTAAAATACATACTCTTACCATTTAAAAAAATATGTTTTATGAGTTTTTATTAGTTTAGTGTTGATAGTATCATATATTATAATTTTGATGACACTAAGTAGTAAGTACTATTGTATCATATGCATTCGACCTCATAGAAAATCACTTAATGTGGTTTCAAAATAAAAAGTAGAAATAATTCCTTATGTATTTCTAACAACTTGACATATATGAATTTTATTTTTATTTTTTTAAAAAAAACATATAGTCCTATTATGTTATTAGTCAACAAATGCACTCTGTTCTTTCCTATAATTGTTGTGTACGCTAAATTAATTTAAAGATAGTATCATTTTATTTGTTAATATAATTGTATTAACTAAAGTTAAATCATATATATTGATTTATAAAAAAAAAAAAAAATCAAAGCTTCAAAGTATGATGATATCTAGCTACTTGGTGAGTTGGTGATAGCTACATGCAATAAATGCTCTTCTTCCCATTGAATTTACTACACTATTTGTTAAATTGCTGAGCCTCAAGTGCTTGGCTTCTCTATAAATAGGGTAGCTCTTAACACCTCTCTTTCACATCCCCAACTCACACTCTCTCCTCTACACTTTATCTTCCTTCTTCACATCTGCAATCCAGTCTCTCTCTTAGTCTTTCTCTGCATAGACAATTGAAGCTACTTTTACGAAGCCCCATAGATTTGTACATCTTTTCAATTTCAAAGTTTTTTAAAAAAAATCAGTGAAATGTCCTTTTCCATTTTCACCTTCACTCCAACTTACGAACACAATTTTTTTTTTCACAGGGAGTGGAAATGAATATTACAAAAGAGAGAGTATGAAGAAAAAGAGGAAATCTGATTGAACGGAGGAAGAGTACTGTTACATTGGTTCTGTCTTCATCAACTGAAAAGAAACTTTACAGATGGCCTTATATACACAGAGCTAACAGATAACAGAAAAGAGAAAAGATCCTAACTAACTTCTGAACAGAGCTTAACTGCCATCAAGGCTTAACTGCCACCTTTCTCTTCTAATACCCCCCCGCAAGCTGGAGTGTAAATGGAATGAAGCCCCAGCTTGGACACAAACTTTTGAAATAGCATTGGTTGTAGGGGTTTTGTCAGGATATCTGCTGTCTGATGTTCAGTAGGAACATGTAGTAGCTTTATGATTCCTCCTTGTATCTTTTCTCTTATCAAATGACAATCTATTTCTATATGCTTGGTTCTCTCATGGAGAATTGGATTTTCTGCCATTGCAATTGCAGACTTGCTGTCTGAGAACAGCATGGCTGACCCCTCTGTGTGTACTTCAAGAACTTTCAAGAGATAAAATAACCACTGTATTTCACAAACAGTAAGAGCAAGTGCCCTGTATTCAGCTTCAGAAGATGACCTTGACACAGTGCTTTGTTTCTTGGACTTCCAGGATATCAAAGCATTACCTAGGAACACACAAAATCCAGTAACAGATTTCCTTGTGTCTGAACAGGCTGCCCAGTCTGAGTCAGCAAGGCCACTTATCTTCAAATTGGATTCTGCTGGATAGAATAGGCCCTGCCCAGGACATCCTTTTATGTACCTAAGTACTCTATGTACAGCTTGGAGGTGGAGAACAGTAGGTCCATCCAAGAACTGTGATAACTGTTGCACAACAAAACAAATATCAGGCCTGGTGATGGTCAAATATAGAAGCTTTCCCACCAATCTTCTGTTCTGAGTATGGTCTTCTAATGGTGCACTATCTCTTTTGGAAAGCTTGTTGGTTTGCACCATGGGGCACTTTGCAGGTTTACTTTCAAGGAAGCCTGCATCTTGTAAGAGATCTAAGGCATACTTTCTTTGAGTTAGAGAAATGCCTGTGTGATTCCTGGCAACCTCCAGTCCAAGAAAATATTTCAAATTTCCCAGATCTTTGATTTGAAAAGCTGAGTGTAGATGGTCTTTAATATGCTGTATTTGAGTCTTGTCACTGCTGGCTAGGATCACATCATCCACATATACCAGAAGTGCTATGAAATTATCATTAGATCCTCTAGTGAAAAGAGAATTATCACAAACAGCTTGCTTGAATCCCATGCTGATCAACTTAGAGGTTAACTTAGCATTCCACTGTCTATTTGCTTGCTTTTGGCCATAGAGGGATCTTTTTAGCCTGCATACTTGTCCAGGTTGCTCAGGAAGAAACCCTGGGGGGAGGGCCATGTAAACTTCCTCATTAAGATCTCCATGCAAGAAGGCATTGTTGACATCAAGTTGATGCAACTGCCATCCTTTTGCAGCTGCAACAGCAAGCAAGGTTCTAATGGTTGTTATTTTTGCAACTGGGCTGAAAGTGTCCACATAGTCTAATCCACAGGTCTGAGTGTATCCTTTTGCAACCAGCCTGGCCTTACATCTCTCTATTGTGCCATCAGCTTTGTGTTTCACCTTATATACCCATCTGCATCCTATTGATTGTTTGGAGGGAGGAAGTGTGGTTAATTCCCATGTGTCATTGGCTTGTAGAGCATCTATTTCTGCCTGCATAGCCCTTCTCCAACAGTCATGTTTGATGGCCTCATTGTAGGACTTGGGCTCATGAATGTCTAGAATGTTTGCAGCAAAGACTTTGAAAGAGGGTGATAGCTTTCTGTATGATAGAACAGCTGAGAGAGTGTGGGGAGAGGTCCTGGTAGTGGGCAAACTGTATTCATAATCTCTGAGATATGCAGGCCTGGTCATTTGCCTGCTGGACTTTCTGGTCTGGACTGGCACAGGATCAGATTGTTCCAGATCAGGATCATTTTGTATAATGTCAGGTATGGGATCATTTTGTTCAGCATGGCCACTGAGATTACTTGTCTCTTCTCTTTGGACAGTCCTTTGGGGGGTAACATCCTCCATAAAACTGATATCACTTGGCAGAATGAGATTCTGGGGTGAACCTTGCTCATCAACTTGATTTGCTACCTTGTAAGGAAATATATGCTCATAGAAAACCACATCTCTTGACATAAAAACCTCCCTGGAATCTAGATCATAGAGCTTATACCCTTTAACTCCATTAGGATAACCAAGAAATAAGCATCTTCTAGCTCTAGGTGAGAACTTCCCCAGATGCCCTTTGTGCAGAACAGCATAGGCTAAGCATCCAAAAACTTTGAACTGTGAGTATTGGGGAGTCCTTTTGAACAGGACTTGATGAGGAATCTGTCCTTGTAGAGCTGTTGAAGGTAATTTGTTGATGATATAAACTGCATGCAGTATGCAATCTCCCCAAAACACATCTGACAGCCCTGATTGAAATTTGAGTGCCCTTGCAATGGCCAAAATATGACCATGTTTTCTCTCTACTACACCATTCTGTTGTGGTGTATATACACAAGTTGTCTGGTGATTGATGCCTTTTTCTTGGTAGAACTTTTCCATCTTGAATTCTTGTGCATTGTCTGTTCTTATACACTTGACCATTTTTCCAAACTGAGTCATGGCAAGAGCACAGAATCCTTGGACTAGTGTTCTAACTTCATCTTTGCCTCTCATTAAGTATACCCATGTAGCTCTGCTGTAGTCATCCACAATGGTTAGAAAAAACCTGTGTCCATATATAGTGTGTGTGTGATATGGTCCCCAGATATCAATATGTACCAAGTCAAAGCACTCACTAGAGACAGTAGAGCTAGTATTAAAGGGTAATCTCCTTTGTTTGGCTAGATGACAAATGCTGCAAACATCATCTTTATTCACTTTGAAATTTACATCTATCATAGGTAACTGCTTCAGTTTTTCATAGGAACAATGCCCTAGTCTAGCATGCCAAGTATTGGCAGAATTACAAGCATTGACCCTAACTTGTGCTAGTCTATCATTAACAGGAAAGGTTGGTTTCACAAGGTAATATAGCCCCTTTTGCAAGTTAGCCAAGCCAATCATCTTCCCACATTCCTGATCCTGTATAATACACCAATCAGAATATAACAACACTTTGCACTTGGAGGTTTTAATTAGCTCACTGATAGAGATCAGGTTATAATGAAAACCAGGCACACAGAATACATTTTGCAGGACCAGATTGTCAGCACTTACAGACCCTATATGTGTAATGTCAGCTTTGTCACCATTAGGTAGCTCAACAAACATACCTTGGACTTCCTTGGCATTAGTCAACATATCATGATGGCATACAATGTGGTGAGTAGCTCCACTATCAAGTATCCAAGCAACTTTATTTTCAGAAGAAGGTTTAGAGTAATTACCTTCAAATTGAGAATTGGGAACGAAATTGGCAGCAATCATGTTGACCTGGGGTGCCACTCCTCCAATTCCATTCAAAGGTGATTGATAGGCCATATTGTCCCTCTGCAGGAGCTGCTTGAACATCCTGTACTCATCTTGATTCAGAGTGATAGATCCAGTGCTGGTAGACCCCATGCTTTCATTAAGAGATTGTTCATCTGTGTTGGTAGTAACTTGGTTGGCAGAACCAGCAGGTTTATTTCTTGGTTTCCACCCAGGTGGATACCCATTTTTCTTGTAGCATTTCTCGGCAACGTGTCCAGTGAATCCACAGTATGAACAAACAGGTTTCTTGTTATTATTATTGTTGAACTTCTTAAAACCTGCCCCACTGCCTTGAGTGAGTAAAACACTGCCTGCTTCTTGAGGTTGCAAGCCTACCACTCCATTATTGAACCTTCTTTCTTGTTGTTGAATCATCATGAACGCCTCATCAACATTGGGAAGCGGCTTCGTCATCATAATCTGGGATTGAACCGATGCATAAGTATCATTCAAACCTCTCAAGAAGACTGACAGATTGTCGTTCTCCAAGTTCTGATGCAGAGTCTCTAATAATCCACAATCGCAGACTCTTTCACATTTACACACAGGAAAAGGCCTAATAACCTGGAGTTCATCCCACAGATTCTTTAATTTGGCAAAATAGGCACTCACTGTCAAATCTCCTTGCCTAATTTGATGAATCTCTGCATGTAGGTCAGAGATCCTAAAGATGTCTGCCTCGCTGAATCTTGCCTTCAACGTGCTCCATATGCGTTCAGCTGATCCAACCCAGAGGATCGTAGACGCAATTTCTGGGGAAACAGCTCGCATGATCCAGGTTGCCACCATGTTGTTACATCTCCTCCAATAGGGATACTTCACTTCTCCTACATTTGGCGCAGAGATTGTGCCATCAACAAACCCTAGTTTGTTCTTGGATAGCAATGCCATCTCCATTGCCCTGGCCCAAGGGTGATAGTTCCGGCCATTGAGGACGGCGGAGACTAGAATCAACGAAGGATTCTCACTTGGATGCAGAAAATACGGACTAGCCGCGTCATTTGGATCGAAGTTTGCTACGGTAGAGTTGATCGGTGGTGCCGGCGTAGTCGCTGTAGTTCCTACTGCTGGTGGATTAATTGTGATACCAGGAGGTCTGTTTTGCGTGTTCCAAGCCATTGATGCTTATGGCTCTGATACCATATTACAAAAGAGAGAGTATGAAGAAAAAGAGGAAATCTGATTGAACGGAGGAAGAGTACTGTTACATTGGTTCTGTCTTCATCAACTGAAAAGAAACTTTACAGATGGCCTTATATACACAGAGCTAACAGATAACAGAAAAGAGAAAAGATCCTAACTAACTTCTGAACAGAGCTTAACTGCCATCAAGGCTTAACTGCCACCTTTCTCTTCTAATAATGAAGATATTCATAATACTCATCAGTGTTGTTGTTGTTTTGGCTGGAGGCTGTAAGTATATATGTTTCTTTCATTTTCTATTTATTTTATTTTGCAACATTTTTGTTTCATAAATAAGAGACGAATTTTAAGTTGGATTTAACGATTAATTTGATTCGTATGTTTTTACTAGTCTATATACTATATTTAACATTAGTTTTGTCTTCTTTTTTCATCTCTTTTAATAATTACAGCATCTGCAGACCTTGCTGCTTCTCTTGCTCGTCGTATCAATGGTAAGCAATAGATGGCATGACTCATATAAATATACATGTATATATTGTATTATTGTATTTATGTAATGGCTAATAAGATTGCTTTTCAGGTAACCATAGTTTGGTGAATCCAACTCTAGTTACCATTGATCGTGGTGCCGGTAATTTTTCTTTAAAAACATTATATTGTATTATTAAAAAATAAATAAATGTTCATAAATATATTAGCTAATGAAAATTTGTCATTTCAATTTTTTCTTTTTTAGTTTGCCTACATGGAAATCCAGCAGCCTACTACTACTCCAAAGGGTTTGGCAAGGGTAGTAAAAATTGGATTGTGTATCTTCGTGTAAGACTTCAAACTTAAGTATAATATATAATATTTGAGTTGTAAATAATTATTTACTATGTACAAGTATTATATATCTTGTATCGTAAATGTTTTACCCAAAATGTTTAATCCATTTTTAATACCTTGATTGCAGGGCGGAGGGTGGTGTAGTGATTTTGCTAATTGCCAAGCTTATATTAAAACTAAAGGAGTTGGCACGGACCCTAAACCAATAACTTTTGATTATATTTTCAGCAACAAAAAACAAAAAAATCCAGGTATGTATGTTAAAACTATATGTATATTACTTCATTTTAAGTCTCTCCATTCCTTGATTTTAACTGAGATGCTTTTATGCTAAAAAATGTTCAGACTTCTTCAACTGGAACAAAGTTGACGTTAGGTATTGCAATGCATCATCGTTTACAAGCAACTCTAAAATAACTAAAAATGTACGAACCTGATTCTTAGTATTTTCATTAATTCATTTGTACTGCACATTAATCATATAAATATATTAAATTTCTACTTTTGATTTAAGAAGTTAACACACTTTATACAATTTTGTTTTTTCAGAACAAAACACTTTATTTTAGAGGTGCCAGAATTTTCAAAGCTGTAACTGAAGAGCTATTATTGCATGGAATGGGAAATGCAAGAAATGTGAGCATTTATGATTTTACAAAGCACAAAAATGTTTAACATCACAATATTTACTTGTTTTAAAAAGTCATTAATCTTTATATATGCTGTTTTATTAAAGTATCTTATTGTGTACTAATGGGAATTACTTTATTTACAATGTCATTTTTGTTTATGTGAGTGGTAAGTTCATGATTACAGTTTCTAAACAATTTTGTATTTAATTTTGAAATTTTAATTAAATATAGGCTATATTAGCTGGTAGTTCAGCTGGAGGTGTTGCTACTACTATTTACTGTGACAGATTTAGAGGTCTCTTACCCTCTGCTTCTCGAGTAAAATGCTTGTCTGATGGTGGATATTTTTTCTTGGCGTAAGTTATTTTGATTCATATATACATATGAAATCTTGTACTATTTAATTGAATGAATTCTTACTATAATGATAGATACTAAACTTTACATGTGCAATTTTTAACAGTAAAAACCACAGCCAAAGAAACCAATTTCTATCCTACTTTAAAGGCTTGACCAAAATACAGGTATTCCTCTTGAATCATATCCTGTATCCCACTATAAATTAAAGAATATTTGAACTTTCTATATCAACTACTTTCTTGTAATTTTCTTACATAGTTTCTTCACTATATATACCTTTTAATTTTATATCTTTTTGTTTAAGCAGGGATCAAAACCTGCTTTGCCTGAATCATGCACTACAAGATTAAGTGCAGAATTGGTAATCCTCAACTTAAATGCCTTAAATCTTAATAGTTTAATGCCCATGCAATACTTTTGACTTTAACTTTAAAAAAAAAAAAAAAATCCTTAATCTTTGCTTTATTTTTGCAGTGTTTCTTCCCACCAAAGTTGTGGGCCAACATTGAAACACCTATTTTCTTCTTAATGTCGGCATTTGATCAAATTGAGGTTTGATCTTTTTCCCTCACCCAAAGCTAAATGAGTTATGGTTTATTAAAAATAACTTATAAATTAGTAGATTAATTACTTTATATTAGACGAATAGTATCTCATCCTCTCTATGATCCATATATTCATGAGTATTTAATTTTTCTTTTTCAATATAAAAGTATAGTTTAGTGTAATTTATTATTTAAGGGCATTTATATTTAGTGTTAGTAATTTTATAATTATATTGATGCTATTCAAGTTTCAAAAGAATGTCATGTTTTCTTAGTGAAATGCACTGATCTAATTCTAAATTATTTATAAATTTCAATATTGCAGATTCAGTATACTTTGGGAGAAGATTTTGACAGCACTTGCATTACAGGGAGGAATTGCTCCTCAAATCAATTAAAGGCAATGCAAGGTTTGGATAAGTACATTTTTATTCTATACATACATTTCAATTACATAAAGTAACTGCCATTGATGAAGATTTTATGAATTATTAATTACTGATTAATATATCATAAAGTTATGCTTATATGTTTATATAATTTCAGATCTTAGGTCAGAGCTCCTAACTGTTTTGCCTAATGGAGGTAAAAACTCCAAGAATGGATTGTTAATTACCTCTCCATTTGCTCACACTAGGCTATTCGGCCCTTATTGGTATTACCTTGTACCTGGGACTAAAAAGGTATATATATGAGATACATCAACTTGACAAACTTTACTTTATAAATGACAAAAAAAATTAAATATTAAGTAATGTCATTACTGGCTACATACACAATATTGATATTAATCGGTTTGGAAAGGTCCACACATGATAGAAAATTGCTTTAATTTAGAAAACATGAAAGTGTCACTAATTGATATGTTTTTTTTTTTTTTTTTGTTATTAACAGACATATGATGAACTATTCAGAGATTGGTACTTTGATCGGAAGTCTGTCCGAGTGGTAGACAAGTATCCATGCCCATATCATTGTTAGGTTCATCCATGTAGTAACTTGTGCTACAACCCAAGTCCCTGAAGTGAATAATGAGGAAATGGAGGAAGGGAGTGATCGAATTAGCTGGAAATTCTCTACTAGGACCAAAACAGTGTAGTATGAAGAAGTCATTGGAGGCAGTTATCAATATATTACTATTGTTCATATCATTGTTCATCAATTTATAATTTCGCGGCTTTCTTTAAAACTTTGCTGCTTCTTTTCTCTTCTTCATAATTTGAACTTCGTCTCAAAACCTTTGCTGCTACTTTTTCTCTTTACGGGTTTGAACCTCTTCTCCAAAATTCTGGTGCTAACTTCTTTTCACTAAATTAAGCATAGTAAAATTTGAAAAGAACTACTTACAAAGAAATTTGTGAGAATTTTATATATATATATATATATATATATAGGATGGTTCATGTGAGAACAAATCCTTAAACAAAAAGTGATAGACTAATCTAATCCATCCCGTTAGATATACAAACCATGCATTGAAGGTTATAGAAAAGTATGGGGAAAGAGAGCCGGATTAATTTTATAAATATTGTAAACTTTATAATAACAAAATTGACCCCATACATTTTTATTAAAATCTTCAATCCTTGATGAACACCGACCAGTGGTTGAAATCAGTTATTACTTTTTATTGGATGAATTAATTTATCTCATTTGAACACACCCTTCGGATGCTCTTTGCTACATACCTTCACTACGAACATAATAGCACGTACTCGTAATAACAAGCTAATTAAGATAGACTTTCTTATGCATTCAAAAAAAAAGATAGACTTTCTTATCCTGGGCAATACGACCTTGTTACGAGCGTAACTCAACTCATAATAACAGACTTTTGCTTCTTTCTAATTTTTGCTCCATTTTACTCTTAATGTAGTCCTATTTTCCTACAAAATACAAAAAATACCTCAAAGTTAGTTCTATAACACAATTTATCACATTTCAAGGTATTTTAAGCACAAATAGAACACATTTAATCCCAAATTAACCATAAAATGCCCCAAAAGTAATAGAATTTAGAACTCATCACTATATAATTAATTTGTTAAGCGGTTATTAATTTATTAAAGAAAACCTATGTATAACTGTTCATCTTAATAATCAATAACATATTTAATTATTTTTTTTTTGAAAGGAATAACATATTCAATTTATTTTATTAATTAATTTTTATATTATAATAATAGTTATAACGTATCATAATTATTAATATGCATGATGCATGTTTTTAGAATTTCCATTAGTAACATTAAATTGTACTTTAAAAAAAACCCCTGGAATATATATATATATATATATATATATATATATATATATATATATATATATATATATATATATATCCCACTGCACTAAACACGTATAAATGAAAAGTAAAAGAATAGGAAAAAGCAAAAGTGAAAGAAGCAATGCAAATATTAAATATATTTTTTATATTAGGCTTGGTAATTACAATGGAAAAAATCAATTTCTTAAACGCTATAATTGACGCAGAAGATCCAGGAGTTCTTGAAAGTGTGCAAAACTTACCTATATGTTCAAACAAGCAACCACCTTGTGATGAATGTAGGAAAAAAATTCTTACACTTAACCAACTAGGTTGGAACATAATTCCATGGCAATTACCTTCTTCAATTTGTTGTTCACAACTTCGCAGATGGGGACACAAATGTTTCGCTAAGTGGATGGTTTATGACAATGCTAAAGACTATAACCTTTTTGGGGATTCTGTTATAGTTATAGAAAATATGAAGAGGACATGGAATGGTTGCCAATCAAAAAAAATTTAAAAACCCTAGTCAAATGTTTGAACAAAAGATTAAATTGTAATTGTTAACTTGCCAAATGCTACATGGCTAATTTTTCCTTCACAAATTCCTCACCGTTTAGCCTATCACTACCCGAGATAGTGAGCTGGCTCAAACCAACTCACGGTCTGATTCGAACGATTGCACACACACATAGGGCAATTTAGAAATAACGTAGAGATCAAATACTTAGGAAAATACACACGGGCCATGAGTATTTTAGTCCAAAGACCCACCTTTATTCAATATTCAGAATACAAGACACTCACACGCCAATAGTTATTGCGTGAACTGTAGTCCACATAGTTGTGTGGACCATGGTCCAAAAACGAAATCGTTTTGCATAATTCATAATGTACATTATTCTAAAACTTAATGTACATTATTCTAAAGCATAATATATAATATTCTAACTCATAAAATATATTATTTTACTCAGTAGTTTCATTATTCTGACACATAATGTATATTATTCTAACAGAAAGTACATTATTCTAACACATACGGAGTAATAAATATTATTCTAACACATAAAATACATTTTTCTAACTCATAAAGTACATTATTCTTACTCATAATATTCAACGATGTTGTTTTGGATCTTGGTCCACACAGCTATGTGGACCACGGTCCACAACATAATTTGCCCACACACGCTCACCAAGCCTATTCAAAGCCAAAACTCTCAACACTGCCTACAAGTTATTTATAGAGGGACGACGGTTACAAGGCCAACGCCTAGCCAGTTAGAGAAAAGCATTCAAATTTCAATATCCAATCCTTATCCAATCTTCTTAATCGCCGAACTGGCTGGAACCTTTCTACCCACACGAACTCCAAAAAAAATGGTGAAATATAGGTTCAAAAGGTTTGTTTCAGTGACAATCTTGCAAATTTGTTTACTAAATCCCTACTGACATTTACTTTTTGATAAATATGTGTACAAATTTGGGACGCGTAGGTTAGGGAGATTGTTATCTTCATGGGAAGCAACAACGTCTAAGTACAATTAAATTATTGATTCATAAGATAAAATATACTTTATTCTAAATTTAAACCTGAAGGTTTATGATCGTATTTGTTTTCCCTTAACTGATTTTTTTCCACCGGGTTTTTTAAGGGTGAGATTTTTAATGAGGCAACTAAAACAACACATGCATTACTGATGGATCTCAGCGCTGCACATGCTCACTTCCCAGAGGGTCACCCACCCATCCCGTGATTACCGGAAGTCAGTTCTATGGTACCTGGTTGCCATATTCTACTTAAAACCAATTGATGATAGGTAGGTGGCCCGAATCGAGCTGGGGCTGGACTCGGCTAACCTAGCCGAAGCCCAACAATCCCCTCCTAGCACCTGCCGCAACCTTTGATCGCCAAGCCCAGTTGCGCAGCATGCTTGAATCGGTCCTTAGCCTACGCGCCCACATCCCAGGTTGGGACTGGACTCAGCATTCGCATCGCCATCAATACCAATTGTTGGATCTCAGCGCTGCACTATGCTCACTTCCCAGGGGGGTCACCCATCCCGAGATTACCTGAAGTCAAGCACGCTTAACCATAGAGTTCTATGGTACCTGATTGTCATATCCTATTTAAAACCAATTTGTGATAGGTAGGTGAACATTAACCATTTAACCACATCTCTCCATGGTAAGCCACAGCGCCACGTCCCGAATCGAGCTGGGGCTGGACTCGGCTAACCTGGCCGACGCCCAACAATTACCCATAAATCATTTACTTTTTTCTCGACTAAGTTTTTCACTACACAAGATTTTTCTAGCGAGTTTTTAACAATGCATGATTATGGTTAAATAATGTCCAAAGGGGAGTGTTACAAAATAATATATTAATAGACATTATTATTGTATTTATGTGAACATTATTATTATATTTATGAGAACTTATGGAGATGTAACCACACTATTAATGAAAAGGTCACTCTCTTCTTTTGGGTCATTCTTGCATATTATTCTCAGCAATTCTTTTTCCATGTTAACTATATTTTGGTACCATTTATCTTGCAAACACATCGGTTATGAGCTACCGGGCAACAGACACAACATTACAACATTAAATTGTTATTGATTTATTAAAGAAAACTTATGTATAACTGTTCATCTTAATAATCAATAACATATTCAATTTATTTTATTAATTTTCATATTATTTATAATAATAGTTGTAACGTAGCATAATAATTATTCATATGCATGATGCATGTTTTTTGATTTTCTATTAGTAACATTAAATTGTACATTAAATTTCTATAATACAGTACATCCCACTCCACTAAACACGTATAAATGAAAAGTAAAAGCATAGGTAAAAACAAAAGAGAAAGAAGCAAATATTAAATATTTATTTTATATTAAGCTTGGTAATGAGTAATGACAATGGGAAAAATCAATTTTTTAAACGCTATAATTGACGCAGAAGATTAAGGAGTTCTTGAAAGTGTGTAAAACTTACCTGTGTTCAAACAAGCAACCACCGTGTGATAAATGTAGGAAACAAATTCTTAGACTTATCCAACAAGGTTCAATTACAATTCCATAGGAATTACCTTCTTCAATGTGTTGTTGTTCACAACTTCGGAGATGAGGATAGAATTGTTTTGCTAAGTGGATGGTTTATGACATTGCTAGACTATATGCTTTTTGGAGATGATATTATAATTTTAGATAACATGCAAAGCACATGGGATGGTTGCCAATAAAAAAAAAAAAAATTTAAAACCCTAGTTAAATGTTTGAACAAAAGATTAAATTGTAGTTGTTAACTTACTAAGTGTTATGGGGCTAATTTTTCCTTCACAAATTTCGCACTATATGGCCTATCTCTGCCCGAGATAGTCAGCCGACTCAAACCAACTTAAGCTCTAGTTCGAATAATCACACACACACAAGGCAATTTAGGAATTGAACAACATAGAGATACATAGGAAAATACACACGAGTCACGAGTATTTCAATCCAAAGACCCATAAAAAAAAAAAAAAAAAAAAAAAAAAAAAAAAAAAAGCAACAACATGTTTGTATATATTGTGCTTTAATTAGTACGTATACTTAATTTCTGTTTTTGTTTCTGTTTTATAATTTTATTTTTTTAATAATTTGTTGGTATACATGCATGTAGTCATTCACGCCTTAATACTCCCCTTAACATTTTATAATCTTTTACCCTTTATGATTATAATTAATTAATATTCTCTTTAAAAAATAGATGAAGAAATCCAGTTTACATTCAAAAAGAAACAAAATAAATGTACTATTACAAACAATCTACAACATTAATAATAATAATAATAATA